AACTTTGCTGCGAGAAGTGTGCGAAGTTCAGGGCCGAATCATGCTTTGCAGCCTGCATGGAGAGTTGCGGGGAGTACTTTTCGTCTGTAGCCTAATAACAGATGATGAAAGTCAACCAGGACCGTTTGAGGTGGCCGCCAACCGTGAAGACGCCCTCGGCCGCCTACGTTCTCCCTAACAAGGCCTGCGCTCCCCATGCCCGATTTGCTACTCGAAGCCGTCAACCCAGTGCTGCCGTCGCGCGACGTCAAAGCCGCTATCCAGTTTTATGTCGAGAAACTGAATTTCAAGCTTTCGTTTCAAGACGCCGACGACCCGCGTTACGCCTCGGTGATTCGAGATCGAGTTGAAATCCACCTTCGCTGGCACGACTCGTCTAGCTGGGATCGAGTCGAGCGTCCGAACATTCGCATTGCCGTGTGCGACGTCGAGCATTTATACAGTGTGTTTCAGCCACTGGGGATCTTTGCCTCCGATACCACGCTGCGTGATACGGCGTTTGGCACGCGGGAATTTGGGTTCTTCGACCCTGATGGCAACCTGCTGACGTTTTATTCCGACTTAGGAGAGTAGTCGTCGCGTTGATGACAATTCTCTCCACCCAAACGAGGACCGGCCCTACGCGATGAGTCATCCTCCGGTGCCGCCATTATCGTGGTCCAAGCGATTGCTGTACTTGGGCTGCGCCGCGTTCTTCTTTTTGCTCGCGGTGATCGGCATTGTCCTGCCCATTGTGCCGGCAACGCCCTTTCTGTTGGTAACGAGCTACTTCCTTGTGCGTTCGTTCCCGAAGCTGAATGATCTTCTGTTGGAAGCTCCTTACTTCGGTCCGATTCTGTACGACTGGGAAGTTCGCAAGGGAATCAAGACAAGCGTCAAGATTCAAGCGATCGCTACTGTCGTGCTCGGCTGGGGCATCTCGATTATGGTCTTTCCGATTCCGGCTTGGGCGATTTACGTGATGGCGGGACTGGTGATGACGGGGATTTACGTGATCTATCGCGTTCCCGAACCACGTCCGCTGCCGCCCAAAGAAAAACCTGTTGCCGGCGACAAGTCGGAGGTAGATTCACCGGAAGGATCAACGAATCATGCGGCGCATCGACTCGAAATGAAACGCCGCGAATGGGACCGCAATCAACGCCAGGCTCAGCCGAAAGACTACTAGTTTGGCTGGCGGCCATCCTTAGATCGTGCCAACTTGCTGCAGTGCCAGGTAAGCCAACAGGCTGAACCAAACGACCGTAACGACAGCCATACCGATGAGCAGCCCGATATGCGGCTTGGGTGGATTGGACGTCGAAAGATAGACGGGTGCCTTCGGCGCGGCGTCCTGTTTAGGCTTGTCTTGCTTCTTTCCAGCCATGGTGGTTCCCCCGCAGTGGCTTCCTTAGGCAGAGCCTGATTCTTCCGAGAGCTCGAAGTCGAAGTTCTTCACGAACGCATCTTCGAAGTCATATTGATCGTCGAAGTCTTCGCGGCGATCTGACTTCGACTTCCGCATCATGCCGATACCGATCAAGTTGTACACGATCTCGCCGAAGTCACTTGTCGTATGGATGCCCCACGAGTTGAGCACGACTTTGGCCAGCAAACCATACTGCTGCTGGGCGTAGTGCCGGATGGCCTGGCATAGGACTTGGCCGGTGAGGTGGCGTTCGACTTCTTCCTCTTCGTCCCAGCCTTCCATTTCTTCGTCGAGATCGTCCTCGTCATGCTCGAAGCACTCCAGATCGAGATCTTCCTCTTCTTCCTCGAGTTCGTCGTGCTGCTCGTCCTGAAAGCGTTGACCGAAGGAGAGGGCCTCGCGAACGAACTGGTACGCTTCCATACGGTAGCGTGGATCGTCTTTCAACAGTTGCATGAACGCGGAATAGGTATCTTCGGACATCCCGATTATTCCTTGGTCTTGTCGTTTTGGGATTGTGCGTTGTCGCCGCTCTCGTCTGCGGCATCTTTCTTATCGCGACGTTTACCCCGGCGCGAACTGCCGCCGGTGCTGCCGTTGCCTCGCTTTAGAACAGTCAACACTTCGCTGGCATCGATCATGATGTTGCGATTGTCTTCCATTCGCACAAGCAGTTGCCCGGCAAGGATCTCGTGATTCAGCACGCGTCCGCGACCGTTACTCGTCACGATATCGCTGCCAATCGGTGGCAGGTCGCGCTGAAGCTCTTCGTAGGTGTCGTACTCGTAACGCAGGCAACACTTCAGTCGCCCACAACGGCCGGAGATCTTCGTAGGATCGAGAGTCGCTTTCTGTAACTTGGCCATTCGCATCGAAACGGGCGGCATTTCGCTGAGGTGCGTATTGCAGCAAACGGGCTTGCCGCAGTCGCCATAGTCGGCCAGCAGCTTGGCTTCGTCACGAACGCCAATCTGTCGCATCT